AATTATATTTATGTATTTTATATTTTATGTGACATTGTCATCAGACTTTAATTAAAATTTAACTGCAGTTTTCTTTTGTTCTTTGGATATATTTACAGTAGTTTATTACATTGAAGTCTTACTTAAATCTGGCATATGTGTGGTCCCTCTTAGAATCTATTGGCCTGATTTTTTTCCTTAGTGTCTGTCATATTATCTTATTTCTTAGCATATCTCCAAATTTAATGGAAACTAGACATGTTAGATAATGCATTGTAGCAGTTCTGGATATGACAGCAGTAAAGGCCTGACCTGACCAGGCCTAGACTGAGGGTGTCAAGGCCAGTGCTACTGTACTGGACACTCCCTTTTGGCAGACTGCTAGATATGAATTAGGTTGTTCTTAGAACGTGTTTAATTTGTGGCTCAAGTGGTGTGATTAATAAAAAAAAATTTCAGTCATACTATTCTGCAGTAGCTAATGTTCATGAGAAATAGAATACTATTCTTTACTAATGCTATGATTGCTAAGGGGCCTAATCTTTCCCAGTGGAACAAGCGTTGGGTTACAATATGTTCTGTAATTAAATCCACTTGAAAACAGATTCCACCTTACTGGAAATTATTTGACAGCAAACTTTAATGTTTTGTATCGTTTTAGAGAGAGAAGGTTGACAAAGACACTTGTCATGTAGAACCTGACAGATGAACTTACTATTTTGAATTATGTAACATTCTCAAATGTTTTTGTGCACGTGTAGCACATTTGAATGTTTAGAGAAAGGGAGGAATAAGGGCCTTAGTATCAGTCAGGAATGTAATTTAGATTTTGTTTGTAAGTACCTTTTTATACCAGTGATGTATTTATATTTGGGGCAAAGTTATTAATTCCTGTTTAGGGTTAGTCTTTTATAGGCTATTTTTGTTTTTACTTCATTTGTTTGATATTGACCAAATTTTGCTTATGTCCTTCCTTCCCCTGGACCTGTCAACCAGCAAAGTGCAAATAAGAAGCATTTTTAGGAAGGGACTTAGTACAGTTCTTCACATCCATAGCCTGTCCTTTATTTAGACAGAACTATGAGGTATTTTTAATTTTTTAAGAGCTCTTCCTTTGTTGAACTTGTTAATTTAATAAGCATAATATTTAATCTTTTCAGAGGTCGAAACAGTAGCAAAGGACTGCCTCAGTCTACGGTGAGTAACATATATGTGATTTCTATTTAAAGAATGGTAACTGAACATAATCTCAAACCATAGGCAGAAAGCCAGAGGAGAGAAAATTCTCTTGAATTGTATAGTTTAAAATTAGTATAAAATTATTAATTGTGTGTGTTATGGAGCTCTGTTAGTTTATAAAGTTTCTAATTATATATATTGCTTTTTGTTGATGGCTTTATCTATAAAATATAATTTAGTTCTTAAATAGTATTTTGTCATGCTTAATAATTCTTCATTAACATTTTAAAATAAATTTAAGTGGGTAGTCTCTCAAAAGATTAATAGAGCTTCCAGATGAGAGTTTGCAGAATTCTTTGGAGTTCTGATTTTTAACTCCTGTGCAGTCATTTAAATTGCTTTTACCCTTCCCCCTTTGGAAAGGGTCTTCTAATCTTAAGTTTTTGGAACTTTCATTGAAACTAAAAGGGGCATGAAGGGCAGGAGGTGTAGGTTCTACATGATGGAAGAAGGCAGTGAAAAGCTGTCAGCATTGCTGAGCCTTGGTTCTGTGTGAATTGATTGCTTATTCTGAATCAGGAGGACACACACTTGGGTGATATACAGTTTGCAGCATGTGCTGATGTGTCTGATCCGACTCTGAGCACTGATACTGACTGAGGTATCTGGAGGAGGAGTCAGGATTCCTCTGGAAAGGTGCCTTCTGCCCAGACTCAGTCACCCTTTTAGTGAGCAGCTGGGGTCAGCTGCCAGGTCACCTCCCAGAGACAAAGCAATAGAGCCATTGCTTCTGTAGTCTCCCAGCTGCCCTACATCCCTTCATCCACTTCCTGGTCAGCCCTACCCCTTCTCTCCTGCAGCTGGGGGTCTGTTTCCTCTACCTAGCATTTGCTCTTTTCATATCTTGTTTATATAGTCAAAACACTGTTAGTTTCTGGGCTGATTGTACTTGTGAAAACCTGAGCTATTCTCAGGAAGCACAATAATTAATTTAACCAAATCTCCTATTAATACCTATCAGAAATTGGAATATCTTGTAAAAAATAAAGAAATAGACTTTAATCTGTATATACAGGTATATAAATTGTGATTTTTGACAATGTCTTTTCATATTCCAGATTTCATTTGATGGAATCTATGCAAATATGAGGATGGTTCATATTCTTACTTCGGTTGTTGTAAGTTACCAGTTTATTGGAAATATACTGCCTTGGGAGTGCTATAGAATAATTTTATAAAGTTAATGTTTATGAATGATCCTCAAAATAATCTTAGCTTATATTTAATTAGGATGATTTTGTAGAAATAGACTAGAGGCCTTTTCATCCATGCTGTTGTAATGCACTGTGAAAGTATTCTTGATACTGTAGTTAATGGTCTTCTGTAGTGCATTCTTCTTTTAACCTAGTATAGCTGTGGTTGTTGTTGGTAAGTGCCGTCGAGTTGAGCATGACTCAGCAACCCTATGAGCCAAAGACCCAAACCCTGTTCTGTAGCTATTGTCATTTCTCTAAGTTCATAATTTGCAGAGGCATGTTTAGGAAGTGGATGCTACTCCTGCTTCCAAACCTGTCTTAATCTGGAGCTTTACTAAACCCTGTCCACCATGGGTCACCATTATAGCATTTGACATGCTAGTGGCACAGTGTTCAGCATCACAGCAACCCCAGGTTACCTCAGTACAGCGAATTGACAGACCAGTGTTATACCACTTAGAAGAATGTTCATTCCAATCACAGTTAACAACCAAACAGTCCACACCCAACTCTCAGCCAAAACAAGAAGACCCACCCTTCCAGAATCCAACCACTTCACATGTGAGTCTCTAGAAATGGTTAATTTCAGTTTTACAAGTCATAATGCAAACTCTTAGTGCCCCCCCCCCAAAGGATTCTGATAGCATAAAGCAGTTAGAATATCTAATTATGTTGAGTGGTACCTGGTGAGCTATGAAACCTCCCATGCATAGTTCTCCTTGGGACTGTACCATCCTATTGATACACTCATTGCATTTTTTCAGGGATCCAAGTGTGAAGTTCAGGTGAAGAATGGAGGTGTATATGAAGGAGTTTTTAAAACATACAGCCCTAAGGTAATTGTTATCCTTCTCTTCTGTTCCTGTTAAAGTCAGGAATGACCTGTGTGTCAATTTTTGATTAGTGTCTTTCGGTTTCTGATTTAGCAGCTTTGGGTTTTCAGTTGGACATATTGATGATTGTTTCAGCGAAGACTTAGCTAACTATATTTTGTCCATTTTTCAAGTATTGTCGTCTAGAAGACTCAGTTAATTTCCTCTTCTCTTCATCACTAATGAATTAATGTACTTAAGACAGATTTGAGAGGTACTCATGCTAGTTGAAATGTCTGGTTATTTAAGCGATGACTGAAAAAGAGAGCAGATTTCTGAGAAAAGGCTGTGATTCTCTGATGAGATTGTTTTTGCCAAAGATAGAGTAGAGACCTTGCTGTGTTAAAAACATGCCTATTTTTAATAGAATTTTTAAAAATATGTGTTCATTATCTTAATTTTAGTGCGATTTAGTACTTGATGCTGCTCATGAGAAAAGTACAGAATCGAGTTTGGGGCCAAAACGTGAAGAAATAATGGAGAGTATCTTGTTCAAGTGCTCAGACTTCGTCGTGGTGCAGTTTAAAGACATGGACTCCAGCTACGCCAGGAGAGGTAGGTGTTCAGCTCAGGGCTTACTGGACTAACTGTAGCCGAAGACCCCATTGAGATGCATAGAGACTGTTTTTACTTAAAATACATGGACTTCTGAGAATAACGATGAAGAGAATTGTTTCAAAAATTGAAGTTTTAGTTCATTTTTATGAAAAATGTTTTTACAGGAAAGAAAAATTGCTTTGATCTATTCAGTAGCATAATATCAGAGTTTTTCTTCCCTTAAAAACAGCTGGTAAAGAAGTTTCTAAAGTTTGATGGTTAAGAATGCTGTTAATCACTTACCTGCTGATGTCCCATTTAGCATGTAGTGTGGTTAGTTCATAACCTAAACCAGATTCACTGCCCTCGATTGATCCTATTTACGGTGAGCTTGGAGGACAGGGTACAGTATCCTGGAAGGTTAGCAGGACTCACCCCAGCATCTATCCCTGAAGGAGCCGATGGTTCGGTGCGTGTGAACCATTTGCCTTTCTGAGAATGATGCTGGAAGACAGTAGAACTGCACCATGGGGTTTACAGAGCTGAAATCACCTGGAGAAGGACAGCCACAGCTTTCTCTTGTGAGCACCTAATGGATTGAAATAGCTGAATCTTGATTCGCAACCATCAATTTATTCACTATCAGGAATCCTGTTAGCTTAGAAAGGACCTGTGCATCTGAACAGGACCAAAAGAAGAAGGCATAATGGTGTGGCAGAAAATGATTGTTTACTACAGAGTTCTGATTTTGACTTAACGTGATCTCTTGACTGCTTTTATCTTTCTCTATTGGGAAGGACTTTCTAGTCTTTAAAGTTGTTATTGTTATGTGTCATTGAGTTGGAAATGACTCATAGCTGACCCTCCAGTAGTGGGTTTTCAGAGGCTGCAAATCACAGGGGAAGAAATTACTCTTCTTTCTCCCTCAGAATAGCTGGTAGATTCGAACTACCTGTCTGGGAGTTGACAGTGCAACTCCTTACCCAGTAGGCCACTAGGGAGCTTGGTTCTACATTCTCCCAATGATTCGCCCCCCCCCCCGCCCCCCCATCTATGGTCTCATATGTAGTTCTGAAAATTTTCCTTTATTACAGTTTGCTTTTTATTATTGTATCTGTGCCAATAGCTGTTTTGGTTTGAAACTGATGATTCTACACCATTAATGGAGAATTATAGCCACCAGGAAGGTAAAGCCTTTCTCTTGAGCCTCTTAACAAGGTTCTCTCTCTCGAGCAGCTTGCTTTTCCAGAGACTAGCAGTGCTAGGCACCCAGAAAAGCTTTGAGATGCCCATGAAAGCTCAGTGTTCTGGTTTTGCATCTTCTGAGATGTTTGCCTTTGATCCACACAGCTCTTTGTCTGATAGTCCTTCAGTGACCCACACAGAAAAAAAGTCTTTGCAGTTGTTGCCTCTGGACTTGATCTTCATTTCTATGAGAACAAAATTATTTAAAACTATATTTCTACTATTAAGTACTTCACTGCTTTAGGTTTTAAAAACTGACTTTGGGTCATAAGCCTAAAACAGAAATAAAATTTTAGCTGACTTGGCTTCATAGCTCTCTTGAAAAATTATTCAGGCACCCATGTCTGTAAATTTCTTTTTTTAAAAAAAGAAAAAAAATGGACTTTGGCAAAAATATTCCTTTCTCTGTGGATCATTAGGGTAACATTCATTCACAGTGGACTTCGGTGGATTTTTTTACATTTTTAACATGACTTGACCTTTCAGAAATTGGGAAAGGTGGTGTTGTTGTTTGTTGTTATGTGCCGTCGAGTCGCCTGCGACTCATAGCGACCTTATGTACAACAGCCCTAAACTCCGCTCTGTCCTGTGCCAATCGCACTGTCTCTGACACTCCCATCCCAATTATCCCAGTCACTGAATCAATCC